CTCCTCCTCCTCCTCCTCCTCCTCCACCAACTCCTCCTCACACCCAGCGCCCCCAGCACAGCCCTGCAGCTAGCCCCTCAGACATACCTGCACACCAGGGGCTCCTCTCTCACCGTCCTTTCCACTGGTGCCATCTCGCCCTGGGGCTCCGGGCTTCCCCGTCTCCCCCTGCAGGAGAGGAGTGCTGTCAGAGACCTGTGTGCTGACCACGGATCCTTGTAGCCCACCACTGCTCCTCAGGACTCACCACTTGTCCGGGCAAGCCTGGTGCCCCCTGCGGGCCCTAAGGAAGAACAAGTCTGATGTGAGGAACAGGGGACCCAGGGGGCAGGAATGTGGGCAGAGGCCGGGAGGGACACACTCACCACCAGGCCTGAGGAGCCGGGGGGTCCTGGCAGTCCCACAGCCCCAGTAGGTCCAGGGAGGCCCTAAGGGGAGAAAAAGTTTAGAGCCACCCAACCCTCCACCCCCATGACCTTAACCCATGTGCCAGGCCACTTACCCGTCCTGGTGGTCCTGTCTCTCCGGGCTCCCCCTGCAAAAGTCCAGAGCTGCATGACCCCACTGGTGAACCAGAGACCACTGCCCACCGGCATGCACAGAGGGGTCACCCTGGAGTTCAGCCACAACCCAGAGCCCTGACTGCCACCACAGGAAGTTGGCAGATGTTGTTTGAGGTGCAGACAGGTCTCAAAGGAGCCTCCTGGGACCCACCTACCTGCACCTGGCTGCACTCACCTTCAGCCCAGAAGGTCCCTGGGGGCCAGCAGGCCCAGCGAGACCCTAGAGAAAAATGTCAAGGAGAGGGGTCAGAGTTGGTGGGGGTGTCTGGGCTCAGGGGGGACAATTCCACCCCTCCAGGCAGTTCTCACTCACTGGAGCACCAGGTGGGCCGGGGTCTCCATGGCCACCCTGTTGAGGAGAGAGAGAACCTAGCAAGCCTGCCGAGATTGGGCAGGGTCAGCCTCATGCCACCAGGGACACTGGGGCAACGCTGAGCACTAGAGGCTGGGGGCAAACGGGACAGGAAAGTGCGGGTTCTAGGGTACTCACCATAGGGCCAGGTGCTCCCCTCTCACCCTGCAGGCCCTAGAGAGAGAAGAGGATCGCTGAGTTCCAAACTAGGCCTCTTATGACTGTCCCCAACCTCTGGGACCTTGGGTAGGTCCCCACCCTCCCAGGCACCCACGGACCCAGGTCACCCAGGGGCCTGCACATGCCCAACGGGTGGTCCTTCACAGACAGCACCCACTACTGGCAGCTGGCACACAGTAAGCAGGGGAGAGGCTTAGTTCTTAAAGGTCACCATTCTCCAAAGGAGGCCCACTGACTGAGAAGGTTCTGTGTTGGACTATTCAGCACAAGGTCAGGAGTTCAAAGCCACCGGCCGCCCCAAGGGGAGGAGCAGCCTACACTGCCCTGAAAGGTCACTAGGAGTCAAGTCCACTAGAATAGCCTTGAGGGCAGTGAGTTTGGTCTTGGGTGTTGAGTCATCCTCCTCAGCCCGCCTGAGTCCCCACTCACCGGCTTCCCTTCAGGCCCAGCCACGCCGCGCTCTCCTGGGACACCCTAAAGAGAACAGGTTTAAGGCTCCTGCCCCCCCAAGCCCAGCTGCTCCTCCACTCAGCACTCCCCCGGCTGCAGAACGTGTCCTACACCGGGGGCAGTGAGAGCTGGGTCCCCGAGCTGTGTGCCGTGTGGGCAAGGACTCACCGGGCTGCCAGGGTGACCCCTCTCTCCAAGCTCTCCCCGATCTCCCTTGGTGCCCGGGACACCCTGCAAGTGGAGTGTGGTGCCTGAGCCCCAGTGCCTCCCATACACCCCTGTCTTCCCCACCCCACCCCTGCTGTGTCCCCAGAGATGAGGGGAAGCGTGGTGGCTGGCCGGCGACCTCACCCTGTCTCCTTTGGTGCCTCGGTCACCATCGTTGCCTGGCTCCCCCTGTGGGCACGAGATGTCAAGTCAGTCCCAGGCACCATGGCAGCCCCGCCCCCCTGCCCTGGGGTGGGTCCCACACGCTGACCTTAGTGCCTTTGAGGCCAGGGGGCCCTTGTTGTCCAAGGAGTCCAGGGCCGGGTTTGTCCACCGCCACCTGTAAGCAGGAAGACACAGAGTCCTCCCGGGGTCAGCTCTACAGAGGGCTCTGGGCTCAGAGACACGTGGGGGCTTCTGGGGCCCAAGCCAAGGAGGACAGCAGATACAGACCTTGGGGCCGGGGGGCCCAGGAGGGCCAGGAGGGCCGTCTCTGCCCTGCAGAAAATAAAGCAATGGGGTGACTGCCCCAGCCCCGCCTCCAGACAGCCCCCTTGAGTACCCAGGACCTCCGCCCACGTACTCACCCTTACCTGCTCTCCACGTTCACCTTTCTCTCCACGCTCGCCCTAGGGGGCCGACAGCAGGTACGGTCACATCCCTGGGGATGCCAGCCCCTCCTGACCCCATCCCTGGGCACTCCCTGGCCAGCCCCGGCTCACCCTCTCTCCTGGCCGGCCTGCTTCCCCCGAACTTCCAGCCCGGCCAGGAACTCCAGGAATCCCAGGCTTTCCAGGTTCCCCTGCAAGGCCAGCAGGCCCAGGGGAGCCCCTTTCCCCAAGAGCCAGACCTGGTGGTCCCTGAGGACCAGGGTCTCCACGATCACCCTTCATGCCTCGCTCTCCAGGAAAGCCTATGGGGCCCTGGGAGGGTGGGGGGAAGGAGGAGGAATACTGTTGGCATACAATCACACCCCAATGGGGCACAGCCAGTGGGCACCCCCGCCAGTCACCTCCTTGCCCAGGGGCCCCCGATCTCCTGGCTCCCCCTTGGGGCCACGCCGCCGCTCAACCCCAGATGGGAAGCTGCCGGAGCTCTCGTCCCAGATGTCCACGATCTCTCGCAGAGCAGACACCTGAGGGTTTCGGCAAGGGGTCAGAGGAACATGCGCCCCACTCCCTGGGTCCTGTGGGTGCTACGTGCACCGAAGGACACCCCCCTCCCTCATCTCAGGCCCTAAATAACTCACCTTGATGCCAACGGCCTCCAATGATCGCTCCACATTCTGGGGACACAGGTTGGGTGAGGAGCTGCCAGTGGGGGAGTAGCCCCCGGAAACCGATGACATGCCCCCTCCCCGGCTTCATGGCCAGACTGCCCTCTCTGGCAAGTCCCTGAGACCCAGCTTCCCCCAGGAGTGGACTTCCCCCAGGACAGTCATGGGACTGAGCACCCCAGGAAGGGCCCGGGAGGGGCTGATGGTAAGGGGATGGGGAAGCGCCAGTTTGGAGTCAAGAGCCGGTCTCAGGGCTCCACTTCAGCCAGTAGTGGACAGGCTATAAAGTGGATGATGACCAGCGGAGTGGGCACTCACTCCGGTCCTCGCCACAGAGATCTAGAGGGCAGCCCTGGTCTAGGGATTCAGCTCAGAGGCAGGGAGGACAAGGGAGATGGTCAACCCCAGGCTGGGGGAGGAAGTGGGGCCTGGGGGCCAGGTACATGCTGGGGAGGGACTGCGGTCAACACCAGGAACCAAAGTGAGTCTGGATTGAGACAGTAGGTGGGTTCCTCATTACCCAGGGGAAGAGGGGGGTGGGGAGCTAGCCCAGCGGGGACCAGAAGAAAGGGTTCTGAAATGACCATGGCCTTCTTAAGACGCTGGAATGATTCCGTCACCGTGTGTTGCGTGACGTGCACAGGTGACTCGGGACGCACACGGCAATCAGACGTTTCTGTGAACCGTGTGTGAGTCATCGCGTGCAGGGGTCTTGAGTGAGGCTGCCATTAGCAGGGCCGGCAGTTTGAAACCCCCAGCCACTCCACTGGAGACAGACGGGCTCTCTACTCCTGTCTGCCCATCTGCAGTGACTGTCTGGGCACCCCACAGCGGGCACCGTGAGTGAGTCAGCGCTGACTCACGGCAGTGTGTCTGGTCTGCGGGTTTACGGATTGTCGGCCGGGAAGCCAGTTTGCTCAGTGACCTCTCACCCAAAGAAACGGACCCTCGGGCAGTCCTAGTCTGTCCCCAGGGCTGCTCCTTTGAGTTGGCGTTGACTGACGGCAGTGGACTGGGGGTGTCTTTTCTAATGCCACTGTTTCCCTTATGCTTCTTCTAGTGCCAATGTATGGACTATGGACAGTAACACACTAATCTCCAATAAAGGGGCGCCGGGGGCAGGAGCCGGGCCGAGGTGACTCACCCCCAAGCTTCCAGGTTCTCCCCTCAGGCCACGCTCTCCAGGGAGGCCCTGTAGACACCCAAACAGATGGCAAGAGTCAAGCAGCTGGGATTCCTCGGCTGCTCAGGGGGCATGTGTGCACCTGTGCACAGGAGGCTGTGCCCTGATACACCAGGACGAGGGAGGAGGGTGGGGGACCCTTACCTGTTCTCCTTTGGGGCCACTCTCCCCACGGTCACCCTGAGAACAGAGAATCATCAGCCGTGTGGGGGAAATGCTTCCCAACCCTGATCAGCCTCCCATCGTCCCCCTAACCCCTCATACACACTCACCTTGGGGCCCGAGTTTCCTGGGACGCCGGGGAAACCCTGAGAAGGGACAGAAGGAAGGGGCCACACAGGTTCAGGACAGCCCAGAGGCCCCTGGCAGGCTCCCAAGCCCCTGCACTATGCTGGATACTCACCTGGCCAGGGGGGCCAACCTGCCCTGGGAGGCCTGGGGCGCCCTGGAGTCCAGGGCTACCCGGAGCTCCACGCTCACCTTTGGGGCCTTCGTAACCCTGTGGAGAATGGAGCAGGCCTCAGGACCCTGGGAGCCCAGGAAGAGGCAGGATCTCTCTCTCTCTCTCAGGGTTGGGAGGGAGTGGGAGTGGGGGTCAGGCTGCAGGGCAGTCCAGCACTTACATCTCTCCCTGGGGCACCTGAATCGCCTTTCTCTCCCTAAGGAAGACAGGGTGCATCAGAGCAGCCCCAGCCTGAGATCAGCAGACCCCGGGCAGAAGGGCCTTACCTTCCTCCCATCTTCTCCAGGGTCCCCGGCTTCTCCCTGTGGGCAGAGGACTCGCATCAGCTCACTCGCCTGAGTCTGCCTGCAAGTCTCTCTCTGTCTGTACCTTTGGCTCTGCGCCTCTTCGATACAGCACGTGGCCTGTGGCCTGGGGGAGTTTATCGGTGGGTGTGTCCCATGTCTGTCGAGCGAGTGGATGGCTCGCCTTAGCAGAGCACTATAGGGAGCCTCTGGCCTCCAGGGTTTCTAGCCAAATGACAGCTGTGTGCTTCCAGCTCAGGGAGCACCCTCACCTGTGCATACATGAGCCTATGCTCCTGGTGGGTGACTGTGTGTCTCAGGCCATGTGCACACCCTGGCACAGACGTAGATCTGCCTACATAGTCTAGACAGACGTCTGCATGTCCCCGGTGCCTGGAGAGTCATCTGTGTGTATGACCCTCTGCCTGCAAGGCTGTGGACTTCCGTGGGGATGAATGCATGGGTTGACCTGTGTCCCATCTCAGCCCAGGTCGTCCGGGGCTCCACGTCGGCGTCTTCACGCCTGTTTGTGAGTCTCGGCGGAGAAGACGGTCAACGCTGTCTCTGGGTGTTCCCTGCTGGGTCTCCAGGCCGGTGCGTCTGCAAGTCTTGACCTGCATCTGTAACACTCAGCCTGTACCTGTATCTGCGTAGGTTCATCCAGGCACAGGTCGGCACGTCCACCTTACTCACTGTGTGTCTGTCTGTAGGGCTGCCTGGGCACACCTGGAAGGGTGTCTCAGGACTGCCCCGCACGTCTGGGCCAGGCCTCAGGTGAGGTCACCATAAGGTGTGATTGTGTGTGTGTGATTGTGTGTGTGACATGCAAATCTGAACACCTGGGCAGTGTAGCCATGCTGGTGGGTGCCAGCGGGTTTTGCCACGGCTGCCCCAGACACTCACGTTTTTCCCATTCAGGCCAGGCTTGCCATCCTCGCCTGCTTTTCCCTGTGGGGACAGGTCAGAGGTCAGAGGTTGGAGTCGGAATAAGGGTAATCATGGGGCAAGAGGTTAAGTCCAGCCTGGACTCACCTGTGCTCCAGGAGGTCCAGGGGGGCCAAGTGGCCCCTGCTCTCCTCGGAGGCCCGGAAGCCCCTGGAAGAAGAAGTCTTTGCTATAACTGAGAAGGGGCCTGGGGCACACCCCCCTCCCGTGTGTGCAGAGACCCTCAGGACTAGGAAGGTCCCATTGAGACCCCTTGTGGCAGAGTGGACCCTTACCCAGACTCCCAAGGGAAGATTCTTCCAGAACCTGGGGGTCCTGCTAAATCCCCTCAAGACACAGCAGAGCAGAAGGGGGAACCTAACTGCCAGGGTCTGAGACCCCTCCCAAGGACGGGCTAAAGCCAATCCCCTGAGCTCTTGCTGGTGTCCTGACAATGGTGCCCTGGCGGAGCTGACCCCGGGACCCCTGAGCCTCCCTCTCCCCCTGCTGGAGAGCAACGTTCACTTACATCTCTTCCTGGGTCCCCAGCTTTGCCCGCGATTCCCTGAGGAGAAACGCAAAGTCAGGGAATTTGCCATGGCCCCGGGGACTCAGGGCCACTGCCCACACGGACAGGGTCATTCACAGCTGCGACAGCCTCTGAGCCAGGCCCACCATTGCGACCCTGTGTGTCAGGGCAGAGCAGTGCTCCACAGCATTTTCAGTGGTGGGTTGGGGGGCGCGGGCGTGGGCGGGGGAGTGGGTTGGCAGGTCTTTCTTCTGAGGAGCCCCGAGGGCTGGGCTTGAAGCTCCAAGCTTCGGTGCAGGTGGTAGTAGTCAAGGGCATGAACTGCTTCCACCACCCAGACCCCTAGCCCTGTGAACACTGGTTCCTGTGCCCCAGGGCCACCTCCCCCCGCCCACCAGGCAGGGCTCTGGAAGGAGACACACAGCTCCTGGTGGCCAAGAAAACCCCTGAAGCTGGGTTCTTGTGGGAAGGGGAGAGGGATAGGTACCCACAGGCAAGGGCCACCCAGACTGACTCACGTGCTGCCCGGGCGGGCCAGCGGCTCCGGGTTTCCCATCGAGCCCACTGCGGCCATCCAGCCCAGGAGGGCCCCGGTCCCCCTGAGGAGGACAGAGAGTGGTGAGTCCCTCCCCTCCGGCTGAGACAGACAGCTGAGCCCAGCCCACTCCCCCACAAGCCTCTTCAGCCCTCACCTTTTCACCCGCTGGGCCGCGGACCCCTGGGTCGCCCTGCAGGGAACAAGGTTGGAGGAGAGGTAGGAGCAAGGTGGGAGGGGAAGGCTGATGAGGCGCAGGGCATCCCCCCACTCACCTGTGGGCCCAGGAGCCCCCGAAGTCCACTGACGCCCTAAAAACAGGGAGAGGAAGGGGTCAGAGAAGCTTCCCCAGGCCCCCACTGCCCTTAGGCCTGGCTGTACTCACCCTTTCCCCAGGGGCCCCCGGGGGTCCGGGGTCACCCTTGGGTCCTCGAGGACCCTCCTGTCCAGGGTCTCCAGGCTCTCCCTGCCGCAGAGACAAGCACAGTGAGGGACCAGCCCTGGGCCAGGGGCACCCAGAGGCAGAGCCTGTCACCAGGGGCTCAGCTTCCCTCCACCTGCTGACCCTCATACCTTCTCTCTGGCTCCAGGCCCTGTGTCTACCTGTGAGGAGGATGACCAGTGAGCAGAGGGGCTCAGCAGGAGGGGACGGGCAGGCAGGCGGGGAGAGGGGGTCAGTAGGGATTGACAGAGGTGTGGGAGGGGTGGCAGTGGGGGAAGGAACCAGAGGACATAGTATAGTGCCAACAGGGGCCAACAGGGAGATGGCAGCGGTTGACCAGAGTACCAGACCCAGCTACACCCTTACCAGATGTCCAGGGGGTCCTGGGGGACCCTGAGAAAGAAAATGATTATGGTCAACAGGGACCCAAGGTCCCAGATCATGGCTTGAGTTTGTCCCTAGATGCCACTCTGGCCCTGAGTCCCTACAGAATCCCAAAGGCAGGTCTCGCAGGTAGGCCGGCCTAGGAGGGCACCCGTTGGATCTCTGGGCCACGTGGGGTGCTGGTCAGGACCATGGCCACAGCACCAGTGAAGGCTCCATCCCTCCCGGCCCCCCGCCCGAACTCACTGGCTCCCCGCGGTCTCCCTTGGGTCCAGAAGGTCCAGGGCTGCCCTGCAGAAAATCAGAGGTCACTCAGTGGGGGACAGCAATTTGGGGGAGCTTTGGAGCACCATAAGGACTCATGGGGTTCTGCTGGTCTCTGGGGGCTGTCTGAAGTGGTCGCAGGAAGTGAGGATGAGGATTTTTTGGCATGGCAGGCAGGATGGCAGGGTTGGAGAGGTTGAGGTTGAGGGGTCAGAGGGCGGGACTCACATTCCGTCCATCCTCTCCAGGATCTCCCTGGTCCCCTTTATCCCCTGCAGGCCCCCTCACTCCGGGGATCCCCTGGGAAGAGCAATCTTGTCTGAGATGTGCCTCCCCAGCACATTTTGCAGGCTTCCCCGTCAACCCCAAATTGCCCCCCACCACCCCAGCCCCCAGATGTCTCATCCCTCTCAAAATCCATGCCAGATTTTCCCACCAGCCCATGCCCCTCTGCAGGGTCCCCCCCATCACCACCCCACCCTCTACACTCTCCCATCATACACCTCCGTCCACTCTCTACAGGTCCTCCCATCAACCCCCTCTTGTCCCCACCAACTGGACAAGCCACTCACCCGAAGGCCACGCTCTCCGGCTTTTCCTGGCAAGCCCGGGTCCCCCTGGAGACAGAGAGCCAGGACTTAGGATCAGAGCAAGTCGGAGAGCGGGGCAGAGAAAGGGCTGAGCACAGGCTGGGCAGGGGGCAGAGGGGTGGCCTCGATGACCCCCTAGCCCATCAGGAGGACAGGGAAAGGTCCAAAGCCACAGCAAGGAAAGTCTCACCTGAGGGCCCTCGTCACCTTTCTCTCCAACTTCGCCCTGTGAGACAGGAGCATCAGTCACGGCCGCAAGACCCCCAGTGGTGCGAACTACACCCCTACCCATGTCTCATGACTACCCCCGCCCCCGTCAGGGAACTTACATCTCGTCCTCGGGGGCCAACAGGTCCAGGGGACCCAGTCCGCCCAGGGTCTCCCTTCTCTCCAGAAGGCCCCGAGTCACCCTGTGGAGGAGGCAGGAGTGAGGTGATACAGGATACACCCCGAAGCCTGGAGGTTGTGCATAAGCCAGGTCCCAGCTACTTACCGGGGGCCCTGCTCTCCCGGTGAGGCCGATGGGACCCTGGAAGAGGTGGGGAAGGGGGGCAGGACTGCATCAGGGCTCCCAGTGCCCTGTCTGGGCCACCTCTGTCTTACCTCCATCCCTCCCTGTACGCACCCGGTCTCCAGGGTCCCCCTTGGGGCCAGGGTCTCCAGGAAGAACCAACCCTGGTGGTCCCTGTGAAGAAAAGGATCAGAAGCCAGGATGGCTGCCACCCAGACAGCCCCCTCCTCCTCATGTCCCCTCCTTCCCCCAGTGCCCCTCTCACTCACCCGCTCCCCTTTGACTCCAGCAGGTCCTCTGAGCCCAATGGGCCCCACTTCTCCCTGGAGTTGCAAAGACCATCAGCTTCAGTCCTGCTGGCCTCCGGAGACACCCCCACCCCCCACCCCCGGCCCAACAGCCCAGCAATCCCCCTGAGCTCCAGGGCCCACCACAGGCAGGTCCTCTGACCTCAACCCAGACCCTGCAGCTCTCACCACCCCAGACTTACCTTCTCCCCTTTGGCTCCAGCACCCGTAGGCCCCTGCAAACAAATAAGGCAGGCCCAGGTTGGTCCTATCTGGGGGTGGGGGTGGGGCACAGGACCACAGCCTGGGCTGGAATTGGGAACTAGGAGTCACCAAGCTTGACTCGCAGGGCACAGGCAGGGGCTATGGGAAATGGGGCCCAGGCCCTGTATGGGGGCCCAGGCCCATCACAGGGCCAGAACCCAGAGTCGGGAGGCAGGTTATAAGATACAGAGAGCCTCTGCGGGCGCTCTGAGCTGCCCAGGGTCTCAGGGTGTCTGCGGGGTCCCAGTCGGAGAGGAGCTGGCAGGTACATCAGTGCTCCAGTGCTCACGCTGTGCTTGAATCCCCCCCTCTGCACCTACCAACACTGCAGGGTCCCCAGGGGGACCAGGCTCCCCCTGCAGAGAGAGGAAAGAGGAAAGATGAGTCAGAGGCCCACCCAGGAACCCAGGGTCTCCCCTGCCACGTCCCTGGCGCCAGGGCGCTGGCCTTCAGACGGGGACTCACCTTCTCTCCTCGGCGGCCAATAGGTCCTGGTAGGCCCTGTGCACAGAGAAAGCATGAGCCCAGAGGGCTGGGGGAGGGGAGGGGCACGGGAAGGCCCTGCTCCTGGTCCCCCCACCTTCACAGACTCACCTCAGGACCCTCTGGTCCGGGCCGCCCTGCAGCCCCCGGCAGCCCCTGGGTGAGAGAACCACATGCTGATCCAAGTGACGGAGGGTGGGGATGATGGGGAACCAGGGAAGTGGGGTGGGCCCTCTAGAGTCAGAATTTAGCTCAGGAGGTCCAACTCAGTAGGAGGTCAAGGCCAGGTCAGGGGGGTTAGAAGTTAGGCCCCCGGTGCAGAGATTGGGTGTCATATAGAGAGATGGAGGAGCACCAGAGCGGGGAGGGTCCCGGCGCAGAAATCAGAACCCAAAGGGGACCTGAGTCCAAGTCAGCGGACACTGGCATTGGGGGTCAGTGGGCTCACCTGGGGCCCCACTGGTCCAGGGGATCCGCGTTCACCCTGATGGAGCAAAAAGGGTCAGAGCTGAATCCAATCCTGACCATCCAAGGCCCTGACCCCCTGCACTTCCCAGGCCACACTACCTTTTCTCCGGATTCACCCACGTCCCCTGTCAGCCCCTGATCACCCTGAGGAGAGATGGGCCAACCATCAAATCCCGGACAAGGCATCTCAAGCCAAACATGCCATCAACAGCGCAGAAATGGTGAACTTGGGTCCAGAAAGAACTTGAACCTCCTAGCCAAGTACCCCCACCCACTACCACTACCAATGGCACTCACTTTGGGGCCCACATCTCCAGGAGGTCCTCGTGGGCCCTGCAAGGGATAACACAGAGGGGGTTACAGAGCAAGGGGGTTGATGGTTGGGGGTGTTGGGGACAGGTCTGCTCACGACACACAGAATTCCAGGACCCCAAACTCACCCGCTGACCTGGGGTTCCAGGTTGTCCTGGGAGGCCTGGGGCCCCGTCCTCACAGTCCCCCTAAAGGAGAAACATATGAATGAGAAGGCCAGGGGAGGCCCTGCTCCCCAATACCCAGGGACCCCTCAACTCAGAACTAGAACCCTGAGAGGCCAGGTCTTCTACCTTCTCTCCTTTCTCTCCAGAGGGGCCCGCTGGGCCTTGAGGTCCAGGGCTTCCAGGGAGGCCCTAGGAGGAAGTGAGCCAACGTGAGCATCCACTCACCACCCCAGCTGAGCCCATGACCCCTCTCCCTACACGCCTGAATGCACGCTAAGCCCCAGGCCCCACAGCTAAGCCTCAGACCCCCTCACCGGCAGTCCCGGATCCCCTATAGCAGTGCCACCATGCCCTGGTCCAGGAGGCCCCTGGAGAGAACAAGAAGTCAGGAGAGAGACAGGGACCATACCCCAACCCCAACCCCAGCCCACCTTGTCCCACTTACCCGTTCCCCACGATCACCTTTGTCCCCCTGCAAGACAGACCATGACTCCATGACCCCGGGGCACACCTCCCCAAGATAACAGGAGGGATGAGAGGTCACAGGGTCAAATTGGGTTCTGGGGACCCTCAGGGAATGGAGGAGAGAGGGAGGGAGGGGGTCAAAGGGCCATGGGGGCTCCAGGTAAGGAGCAGGAGTTGGGGAGTTCCCACGGGGTTCACCAGGTCACTGGGTCACATAGAAGTCAAGAGACCACCCAGGGAGTCTTGCTGTCACCTTCAATGATGTCCCAGGAAGTCCTGGGGGCCCACGGGGGCCCGGATCCCCCAATGGGCCTCGAGGTCCAGGGGGACCCTGGTGGAGGAGACAAGGTGTAAGATACAAGCCCCTAGGGTCTTCTTCACCCTTGCCTCATGTGGATGGTTTCCAAACCCCACAGCAGCTCCACTGCACACCCTGGCACTGACCGGTAGGCCGAGGTCTCCTTTCTGTCCAGGAAGCCCCGGGCCCTCGCCTCCAGTCACACGTCCAGGCTCCCCCTGCAGGGACAGAGAGCAGTGGGCAGAGTCCAGGCGTGGTGGCACTGAGGGGAGGCTACCCAGCTTCTTCCCTAGAGCACCCTGGGCCACTCCCTTTCCCTTCACCTACCGGCTCCCCTTTCGGGCCTCGGGGCCCTCGATCTCCCTGGAGACAAAACAGAGCAGAGAGTGGTGCTTGAGTGGCATGAGTCCCAGGGAGGCCCCTCCTCGGTCAGTAATGCCCTATCCCTGAGGTTCCCCACCCCACAGAAGAAGGAAAAAAAAATCTGGGGGAGAGGGCCAGATGGGGGAGGCACCTACCGTCTCTCCGCGAGGGCCAGGCCACCCTGGGGAACCCTGTCATCAGGAGAGGTCACCATCAGAACCACCTCCCCCCGACGCCCACTCAGGTGGTGCATCTCCCTTAGTGGAAGCCATGAGCACACCACAGGACCCACCGAGGCAAGGCTGGCTCACCTTTGGGCCTGGGGTCCCGGGAGGCCCAGCGCGGCCAGGGCTGCCTGGAGGCCCATCCACTCCAGGGAGGCCCTAAGGAGGCAATGAGGTCAGGGCAAGTGTACTGGGGGAGCCCAGAACGTTCATCCCGACTCCTCGCCCCACAGGGCCTGAGGGTTGTCAGGGATGATCCCATGGGGCCAAGAAGTGGCCACTGGGAACGATGGAACCCAGTCACAGGCCCAAGAACAGTGATGAGGGCGACGGGCTGTTACTCTTCCTCCGGGACAGGCAGCCTCCACCCGGGCCCTCCGGGGGGCTGTGCAGTCCCACCCCACCCCAGTCGTCTGGAACATCTCTGATGTGGGCTATAATTTCCCCCCTTGGGCTTCTAGGAACACCCTGTCATTTTAACTCTGTTTTTCCCTTCTCTCTTCTAAAACCCTGGGGAAACCTTAAGCAGCATCTCCGGGGGAAGCACCCCAGTCCCCACACTCACCCTCTCTCCTTGTGCAATGGTGCTTCCGGGGGGTCCCCGGGGCCCTGGGGCACCAGCCCTGCCCTGGAGGCAGAGAGCAGGTAAGAGGGGAGTGAGCCAGGCTGGACATAAGAGGACGCATGGGGAGAGGCACTTACCGGGAGACCAGGGGACCCAGCGTGTCCTGTCAGGCCCTAGGAAGAGTGACCCAGTGAGGCCTGAGCCGTCAGCACCCCCCATTCCCCCGCCTCCCGCTGACTACCCTCCCATTCTCTCAGCCCCCACGGGGAACACTCACAATCTCACCAGGCTCGCCCTTCTGGCCCTAGGGAAACAGGAACAGATGAGGCTCCGGGCCGGCTGGAGAGCCAACTCGGCCCTCACCTTCTCTCAGCCCCGGGTGCTTACCTTGGGACACTGAACCGTGCAAGGTCCTGGCTGTGGCTGTGGACAGAGGGTCTCGGTGATGTCAGACATGTTTACCGAGAGGCCCCAGATTCCCTCCTAGTCCCCCCAGAGGTCTCTTCCAAACCTGTGTGCCTGATGCTGCCTGGCACAGGGCTGCTGCCAGCCCACTGACAGCCCGGTCCAGACTCGGGCCATCATCCACAGCAAAGAAAGTCTGTGCAGGGTCCGTGGCTGGCACCAAGCGACGCAGCTGCTCAGGGTCAGCTCCTGCCAGGCCCAGGATCATCACGCTGAGCCCTAAGAAGCATGTCCAGGAGTAGCTGGTGTGAGGACCCCACCGCGCCATCTCCGCCTGCCAACCCTCTTCCCGCCAGCCACACTCCTCACCAGCAGCCTGGGCCTCACGGATGGGACCAAAGATGTCGCCTCTCAGGGGTTCATCCACCAGCAGAACCATCACCCCAGGGGCATGCCGGCGGCGCCCGGGAGCGTCCGGTGCCAACAGGTGCCTCTGAGTTGTCACCACGGTGGCGCCTGGGGGGAAAGCCTGTCAGAACCCCCCACTTCGAGCTTCCCAGGGGGACGCCCTGGGAGCCCAGGCTCACCCAGATTGTTCCCGCTGGGGTCTACATAGGGGATGTCACGGATCTTCTGCAAGATGGTTCCAAGATCATGGGAACCGTTCAGCGGGAACAGTGGGGAAGGCCGGTGACTATAGGACAGGAGGCCAACCTGGTGGGAAGAGAGAGATGCTGGTGAGAGGGACAGGTAGAGGAGGGGTGTGGGCCACAGAGCCCAGGGCAGTGACACCATAAGGTGGGAGCTAGAGAGGGTGGAGGTGATAGAACAGGGATGGGGGAGACATAGAGCTGAGTGTTGAATAAATCTACGCGATTTAAAAAAGCAAAAAACCCTCAAACTCTCTGCCATCGAGTTAATTCTAGCTCTTAGCAACCCTATAGGACAGAGTAGAACTGCCCCCTGTGGTTTCCCAAGTCAGTAACTGTTGATGGGAGCAGAAAGCCTCATCTTTCACCCAAAGTGCGCTTGGTGGATTTGAACTGCTGTCCTTGTGGCTAGCAGCCCCATGCGTAACCTACTAGGCATGTCACCAGGGCTCCCTAGCCTAAACTACATAGGGATCAGCCAAGACAGCAAGACAGGGAGCCAAGGAGCTCTGGCCTAGGAGACTAGAGTTGGTGGGAGAGGTGGGATGAGGTGGAGCTGGTGTGGCCTATGGGCAAGGGTGGCAGAGGTTTGGACTGCCTCTCTAGGACCAAACCTGGACCGCCTGAGGCCCCAGGGGCCCGAGTGCAGACACCAGACGCTCCAGAGCCCTCTTGATGGCCTCCGAGCGGTGAGCATTGTCCCGAGTGGCATGCACCACGAACACCACGTCCATGAAGCCCTGGGGGCACCCTGCAGGAAGCAGCTGAGTCGCCAACATGCTCAGCCCATCCAGTCACACCCTGAGGGCCCACCCAGATGCCCACCAACCTGGGTGGTGTGTGACAGAGGCCTCTGGGCCCCGCACGCCGTCCTGGATGGGTGTCAGGGAGAAGACGTAGGAGACACCAGGCTCCAGGCCAGTCACCCGCTGGGAGTTTGAGACTCCCGGCAGTGTCTGCGGGGTCCCGGGCACCTCTGCAGGGGACAGAGCTTTGTTAAACAGTAGCCCTCCACGGGGCCCCAAATGCCAGCCCACGCAGCCTGGCCTCCCCCTCACCTTGACCAAGGTCTCTGAGTGGTCGCCAGGACAAAATGTAGCTGGATGCCCTGGACACCGGGGTCCAGGCCAGGGTCACGGAGTCTATTGAGGCTCCCACCACCCGCAGGTCAGTCCTTGGGACTTGAGGTAACTCTGAAGGGGAAATCAAGGGTCAGGGGTCAGAGGCAAAGTCTTGGTGCCCTTTGAAGAACTGGGTTATCTTCATGAAGGCAATGTTGGGGTGGGGGTGCTGGGGCCAGCCTGGCACTGGGGGTGGTAGGGAGGCCACAGCAGGAGTTGCTCAAGGTCAACTGTCCAGAAAACCAGGGTGGGTAATCCGTGGGGGAGACTACACCAAGGCAGAGAGGTCACACCAAGGTGGGGAAGGTCACACCAACAGGATGGGTCCTGTGAGCTCACCAGTGTGCGCAGTCACCTCAGTGGGGGGCCCTTCTCCAGCTGGCCCCAGGACGCTTAGCCACACATGGTACAGTGTCCCTGGTTCCAGTCCATCCAAGTGGTAGCTGCTGGACTCAGGGCCCAGCTGCTGGACCTGCTGCTGGCCACCTGGGGTAGGTGTGGGGAGGGGAAGGGGGGAGGAGCAAGAGGATGGGGTCAAGGGAGCAGCAGATGCTACCAAGCACACTCATGACCCCACCCACTTCACTGACTGCTTGTGGGGGCCATGTACTCTCCTGCCCACCTCTAGACTGATCCCCTCCAATCTTCTGATCCTGTCTCCCATCGATCAGTGACTGATTCCTCAGCCGATGACTGGCAGGCCCCACCCACCCTCATTGACCCCCCTCACCAAGCCCTCTGCCCCACTGACCATTCCCCTACATCCTGGATGCCATCAGTCCGGGATGCCCTACCCAGGGCCCCTCTTACCCTCAGGTCCCCAGCGCAGGAGGTAGCCGAGAGCCCCAGGCACCGGCTCCCAGCGCAGCCTCAAAGAGTGCTCTCCGCGCTGCACGACCCACAGGGTCCTCAGGGCGGGGGGCGCCTCAGGGGCTGCAGAGAACACGGGGACTCAGGAGGGCCCCGCCCCCACAGCCCAATCCTAGCTGTCACGGTCCCAAGCAGCCCCTCTGCAAGCCCAGGCGTTTGGCACCCTCCTCGGACCCCCGAGGGCTCACACTACCCATCTAGGGTCCCCCGATCTAGTCCCATGCACAAGCCCTGGTCCCAAACCGTCTGGGACAGCCTACGTGTGGTGACGACGACGGAGACGGGCGCGCCCTCGCGATCCCCAACCAGCGCAGTTACGCGCACCGAGTAGCTGACGCCGCCTTCCAGGCCCCGGATCTCCGCAGAGTCCACGTTTCCCGGCAGTAGCTGCTCTTGCGTGGGGCCACCTGACCAGGAGAGCGAGTGGTAAGAGCCAGGAGTGACTTGCCAGAAAGGACAAGGGGGTGGCGGGCGCCAGCAAGCATACCCTCACTCCGGCCCCAGGACAGTCTGTAGTGTGTGGCTCCGTCGACGCCCACCCAGGTGACCCGCAAGACGTCACTGGACGCGTTGAGGATCTGCAGGTTGGAGACCCTGCCCACGGGTTCAGGGGCTGGAGGCAGAGGCAGGGTGAGGGGTCAGCTCCAAGAGAAGAGGGTGGCAGCAGCATCGGTCAGCACGTGGTTAGTGTAATCAGGGGCCAGTGCAGGCACCCCCTGAGAAGGAGTGGGCAGTGTGGGGATGCGGAGGTCAGAGGTCACTGTGCATGGGCATTTACTCAGTGTGGGGCTGCCCAGCAGGGCTGGGCAGTCACAGGAATGGGTGGCTGGCACCGTGGGAATACACGGCAGGACCTGGGGCCTGATGAGGCCTGGCTAGCAGCATGCCAGGATCCACTCACCGGTCCTAACAACCACAGAGGCAGGAGCCCCATCCACGCCAGCCACGTGGGCCCGCACATGCACTGTGTACTCGCTGTCTGGCTTCAGCCCGTCCAGCTCGGCCACCGTGTCTTCCCCGGAGACCAACTGGGACCTCTCAGGACCTGGGGCGGGGACGGGGCAGTTTCAGGACACTGCCCCCACCCCCACCCCCGGATCATAGTGAGGCTGTGCACCCAGGGGGTCTGTACAACTCCGCCCAATTTCAAGATGAATAGATGTTGGCGGTGGGTGTCTATGGACAGAAATGCCCCCCCTACCCCCTTCCCCATCTCAGCTGTCATTCGAGCCTTGCCCCGTCTGGTGCCCCCTTGGACTTGAGCCCTGGAGCAAGGGTGCCCCCTCCCCTTGCTACACCCCTGAAGCTGCCTCCGTTCCAGCCAGCTCTGTCTCCCCTGACCCTCCAAAGCCCCTGGTCCCCACCATGCCCTGAGCGCCAGGAGATCCGGTATCCAGTGGCCCCAGGAACTCTGGTCCAGTTGATGGTGACAGATGAGCTGCCTGTCTGAGTCACGTGGATGGTCCTTACTGGGCCCAGTGGTTCTGGGGAGAAAGGTAGTGGGGGAGAAAGTCTGATGGAGGAGGCGGTGGCGGGGTCTAGCAGGAGAGGAAGTAGAAGTGGGGGGAGGTAGTGAGGGTCATGTGAGAAGGAAGGGCAGTGGGAGTCTAACAGGAGTGGGGGTTCTGACAGATGAGGGAGTGGGGATCTAAGGAACCGCAGGGTCTGACAGGGGCGGTCAGGGGATCTGATGGAGGTCAGGGGATCTGATGGAGATCTTAGGAGGCGGGGATGGGTCTGAGAAAGGAGAGAGATAAGTGTGAGAGGAGAGGCAGGGAGGGGGCCAGTAGAAAAGGCAGCAATGGTCAGAGAGACTGGCATTCTGAGGGGGGGGGATGATGGGAATCTGAGGTGAGGGGCTTCAGAAGAGGCAAGGGAGACTGAAGTGGAAGCAGGGGCTTCCAGGGAGGAGGCTGTTGGAATCTGAAGGGGAGACTGGAGTTCTGGGGAGAAGCAGGGCCCTCAGCTGGGAGGCATGGGGTCTGAAGGGGCACTGGAGGCGGAGAGCCTGGTCAGACCCTGACCAGTTTGAGCCACAATGGTCACTGGGGAGCCTTCTTCTCTCCCACGCAGAGCCGACACGGCCACTTGGTAGGAGGTCCCAGGCCGTAGCCCTGTGATGTCTGTGATGGTAGAGTCTGCTGACAGTATCTGGCTGTACGTCTGATCTAGAGGCAGAGGGGCAAGTTGGCCTGGGTCCCCTCGGTCCTTATACCCTAACGACTCCCCCCACCACACACACATACTGACCACTGCCGGTCCTCCAGCTGACTCGAAATCCACTGGCTCCTGGCACAGGTCCCCAGGCCACCCTCACTCGTGTGGCATCTGACGCCACAACCCGCAGCCCTGGGACGGCAAGCGTGGTCTCGGGCTCTGGGATTCAAGTGAGGCAAAGACGGGCGTCAGGAGCAGGAACAGAGCAGGCCAGGCAGCTGCCCACCCCCCACCCCAGTCTCCGTGCAGTGCTCACCGCGGCGCACAGTGAGGACACTGGCATCACCCTCTCGGGTGCCCACTCGAGCAGACACCCGCACGGTATAGCTGAGCCCCGCCCGGACGTCATCCAAGTCGAAGTTCGTCTGACTCCGGGGAAGCACCAGTGTCCTCTCAACCCCTGAGGGACAAGGCAGGGGCGGGTGGGCATGGCTTAGGGATGCCCAGGGACTTAGGATGCCAGGGCTCAGTGAGAGGCAGGGGTGCAGGCTGATGATGGTGGTCGGTAGGGATCTGGGGGCAGTGAGGTCCGTGAGAAATGGGACGCAGGATGACCAGGGTCACAGGTGGACAAGAACACAGGGTGGCAGCGGTCAGTCCCAGGCACACGACAGCAACAGAGGGTGACACGGCGGAGGACAGGAAGTCACGGGGCCATCTTGGCTCAGTGCCATCTTGCGAGGTGAGAGGTAGGAAGAAGGGGTGGAGGCCCCAGGAGTGGAAGGGCAGGTGAGGGTGCACTCAGACCAACGCTGGAAGGGGTGGTGCTGGAAGGTCCCCTCACCCTGGATGCTGCGCACAGTGATCCGGTACTCGGTGGCCCCGGGCACAGGACTCCAAGACACCCGCACTCGTTGCCCAGGCAACTCGATCGCTTGTAGGTCTGTCACCGGGCCCACGGGCAGCTCTGGTTGGAGGGCACGAGGTGAGAGGCGGCCTGGAGCCCCGGGCGCTTCCCCGGCTTTCCGCGGCTAGCCCCACCAAGCCCTCACCAGTGGGGACCACAGCCGCGGGCGTGGCCACCTCTCGGCCCTCCAGCAGGGTGTAGAGCGTGAGGCGGTACTCCGTGCCCGGCTGCAGCCCCTCCAGCTTGTAGCTGCTCACGTCAGCAGGAAGCCCCACCTTATTGGGCGGCTCTAAACCTAGAGGGCCGGCGCAGTCAGGTCAGCTGAGGCCCCGCCTCCTGCCCGCCACCCCCCACCCCCACCCCCACCCCCACCCCCACCCATCGC